CTACACCTTGTTATCTCAGATTCTCCAGCATCTGCAGTTCCTGCTATCCCTCCCTCGCACTGTGCTGCTTGGGGTGGGTGCCTGAATTGCCAAAATTCCTGATGTCTACAGGACTGTTTAATATTGGGGAGAAAACAGTTGGATAGCACCTCTCCCAGTTGGCACTTGTACTGCCCCAGAGCTCATAGAAGCATAGAAAATAGGTGCAGGAGTAGGCCATTCAGCCCTTCAAGCCTTCAATATGATCATGGCTGATCATGCAATTTCAGTATCCCACTCCTGCTTTCTCTCCATACCCGTTGATCCCTTTAGCTGCAAGGGTTACATCCAGCTTCCTCTTGAGTATAACAAACTGAGAACAAACTGGCTCCAACGGCCTCCTGTGGGACAGTTCCACAGGTTCACAACTCTAAGTAAAGACATGCTTCCTCATTTGAGTCCTGAATGGCTTACCCCTTATTCTTAGACTGTGACCCCCTAGTTCTGGACTATCCCAACATCAGGAACATTCTTCCTGCATCTAGCCTGTCCAGTCCTGTCAGCACTTTATATGTTTCTGTGAGATCTCCCTCTTCATTCTTCTAAATTCCAGCGAGTACAAGCCCGGTCAATCCAGTCTTTCTTCATCTGTCATCCTGGGAATCAGTCTGGTGATACTTCCTTGAATAGCCAGAATGTCCTTCTTCAGACTAGGAGACCAAAACTGCAGACAATACTCAAGGTGTGGCCTCGCTAAAGCCCAGTATAACTGCAGCAAAATATATAACTGAACAGCTCGTACAACACAGCTCGAAGATTTCAGCTGGTGACCTTACTATGGGAAGCCCAGTTGTAGATTTGGTGCCTTTTCATTCATGAAGCCACTCTTTCATTGTTATGTTGGACACCATCCCTTTTCTTTTTTGAATAATATTTCTCCGTTCCAGTTCTGTCAGTTCTGCCTCACTTTTAGAATTAAGGTTGCCTGAAGCAGCAGGTTGGATGAATGATATGGGTCTACAACAGCTCCTCTCCTCACTCTGGAAGTTGTCTTGTTGAGGTTGTTCCCAAATACTGACTGGTCTCCTTTACTGTTGCTCGTCTGTACCAACTGGCAGCACCACAGTAGAGGCCATCTTTGCTCTTCCACAACCAGTGTAGATGAATAAATGCTGAGGGCAGGGGGGCAAGAGAGGAGAGGATGAAGAGTGTCTTGGCTTTTTTTTTTCCGCTAAATATTCACATCTAATTTGAAGCAAATTGGGCCTCTCCATTGGCAGCGCTTACCACTCTATTGCAGTGCTTTTCTGTCACTTTATTTCTGTAGAAGATAGAGGTTGGCTCCTGCAAAATTATCTTGTGCTTTCCTCCCCACGTCCTCCTTGTTCTGCTGGAGAATCCACTCTGGAGCAGCACACACCTGAAAATTGAGAGGCTTGCCTCTGTGCAAATGGAGGGAGAAAAGATTTTTTAACGGTGATTAACAAATGTAATAACCACACATCTGATGAATCTTTTAACAGAGAACAGTACAGCACAGGGACAGGCCCTTTGGCCCACCATGTCTGTGCCAATCATGATGCCATTTCAAACTAATCCCATCTGCCTGCACATGGTCCATATCCATCTATTCCCTGCCTGTTCACATGTCTGTCTAAATGCCTCTTAAATATTTGCAATTGTATCTGCTTCCACCATCTCCCCTGGCAGCGCGCCCAGGCACCTACTGCTCTCTGTTTTTAAAAACAAAACCATGTCCCACATATCTCCTTTAAACACTGTCCCCATTCCCTGGTATTTGTCACTTGCATCCTGGGAATAAGATTCCAGCTACCCATCTAACAAAAATTAACTGGAATGTTAGTTTTCTGTGATGTTCTCTGTTGTATGTTAATGGTACGCTTTGGTGTGAAGTCGTAACATATGCTTGTTTCTTTATTTATCTCTCTCTCTCTTCCCCACCCCAACGTTTACCCCCCCCCCCCCCGCAGCTACACAGTTTGTCAAGTCTGCAGTGGGAGTGCCTCAGCTGTGGTCCCCGGTCACGTCCATCAGGCCCGCCACCAGCACCTTCCCGGGCTCGGTCACCACAGTGATTCCGGCCACGGTGACCATCCGGAGCACGGTGCCGCCTGTGGCCCAGAAGACGCCGGCGCAGACGAGCCCCACCCAGTCCCACCTGCAGCCCAAGTGCCTGACCCAGCCCATGGCTTCCCTGGCGCCGTCCCAGCCCCCACACTCTCACCTCCAGCCCCAGCCCCCGGCTCTGCCTCGGCCGCAAGCCCACTCCCACTCTCAGCCCAGCATGCTGCATCATCCGCACTCTCTTCAGCTTCCAAACCACGATCACAAACTCGGTAAGCAGGCCACGGAGGGGCAAGTAACCAAGTGGTGTGAGATTGGGTGGGGAAGTGCGGTCTTGGGGAATCCGGGATCGTATATGTCAGAGGAGTGAGGGTCAAGGAGTGGGAGTAGGGAGAGAGATTTAATCAAAGCATTGAAAATCGCGAGGTGGGGAAGACTTCGATCAAGTCAATGAGGGAGCAACTGTTTCTGCCGGCAGGAGGGTCAGTCACCGGAAGGGCACGGATCGAAGAGGATCGGCAAAAGAGCCAGAAGGGGGCAGGAGATGTGAATTTGCAGTCAGGATGGGCCGAATGGCCGCAGCCTCCTGCTAGCAGATTCGGTAGGAACTTTCAAACCGGGGTATTTGCAAAGCCATGGGGGGAAAAGAGCGGCGGTGTGGTGGTGAAGGGACAACTTTTAGCTGCTGCTGTGTAAAAGAAAAATAAACTTTCCTCTCCTCCTCAATTTCCCCAGTTAACTTCCTCCAGAACACTAACCTCATCCGGCTAAAGGCAACGGAGTCCGCTAGCCCTGAGATCAGGCCGAAGCCTGAGGAAGTAGTGAAGAGCAGCGTTCTCCCGCCAGTGCAGATCACCACCATCACTACCACTGCTGCTGCTGCCACCCAGCTCATACACAAGAACTCACTCAACCATACCACTCCCTTCAAACGTAAGCAAGCCCATCTCTCATCTTCTTAATTCCTTGCCATTTTCCAAGGCTTCTCGAGATATGTAGGGTGTGACAGTTGGAGATTTGGAGGGCACAGGCCAAGCAGATTCCTCCATCCTGCGTGCGAGTCTTGGTTGCCTCCATCCAGAGCACTGTTGGAAGTTTAGTTGCTATCTTGACATTTCCCCTTCTCGATATTGTGTGCGAAGCCCATTAATCATGCAAAATGCGCTTGCCTTTTCTTCAGGAAAGACAACCCGTTAAGTTGGCTTGATGTGCCAATTATTTTGCCTGTAGGAGCAAATTACTGCAGACACTGGAACCTGTACTGAACACAAAAAAAACGATGGAACTCACAGCGGATCAGGGAGGATTGGTGGAGAAGACAGCAAGCTAACGTTTCGAGTCTAGATGACTCGAGTCATCTAGACTTGAAAAGTCAGCTTGCTGTCTTTCCACAGATGCTGCCTGACCTGCTGTGAGTTCCAGCATTTATTTGTTTTCAATTATTTTGCCTCACTGGGGCAGTAAGTCAAGGCAATGCTGTGGGGAATTTCACCAGGGAATTCCCATTACAGTTGCCCGCTCTTGTCTCATTGTTAAGGAGGGTGTCATTTGTATATTATTTGTGTTAATCGTATCCAAGCAATTGATAGAGGTTTCACCCAAACACCTACAAATAAGCTCAAATTCAAAGTGTAATTCATGATTAAAAAGCATGGTGTGAATGCTAGAATGCCAGAAATTTGAAATAAGAACTGGAAATGCAAAATAGGTCAGGCAGGTTTAATAATTTCCTGACTTGTTCTCCTATACAGTGCGATTGTGGGTCTGTAACTCTTCCAGATTGTTTAAGGAAAGGTGGTTACATTCTTGATAAGTAAGGGGGATGTGAAAGGTTATCAGGAAAGTGTGAAGTAATCATTTCGGCTGTGATCTTGTGCATGGAGGGGCAGTCTCGAGGGGTTGAGTGGCCTACTCTTGCTCCTAATTTGTTTGTTTATAAGTGTAGTCTGTGACGTGTTGCTGTGTTCATTAACCTTTCACTTTTTCTTCCTACTTGACCCATTTCCACCTTCCTTGACAGTGCCTGAGAGCAATATGAACAATGGCGTTCCTATCCCAATGGATTGTCCGAAATGCAACATCCATTTCAACATCATGGAGTCCTTGAAGGTTCACATGGCAGTAAGTAGTCTCTTGTTCTGTCTCACTGCCAGTCAGAGAGAAGTGTTTGTGGTAATAAGCAGGTTGGTTTGTTGCCAGTCCCTGACTAGCTCCTCGAGAAGATGGTGGTGTGGTGTAGGGACAGGCGCAGTACTATGAGGGAGGTCCAGGATTTGACCCAGTGACACTGAACGGTTGATATATTTCCCAGTCCTGGGGTGGTATGTGGTTCAGAGGGGAGCGTGGAAACATAGAATATAGCAGCAGGAGTAGGCCATTCAGCCCTTCAAGTCTGCTGTCCATTCAATACGATCGTGTCCCGTCACCCTGTTCCCACTTTCTTTTCATACCCTTTGATCCTTTTAACGCTAAGAACTACGTCCAACTCCTTCTTGAAAATGTTCATTGTTTCTGTCCTGACCACTTACTGTGGCAGGGAATTCCACAGGCTCCCCACTGTCTGGCTGAAGACACTTCTCATCTCAATCCTAAATGGCCTACACCGTATCCTTAGACTGTGACCCCTGGTTCTGAACTCCCCAGACGTCGGGACTTGCCCTTCCTGCCTTTACACTATATAATCATGTTAGAATTTTGGAGGCCTCTGAGACTTGCACCCTTCCCCACCATACTCCGACCTGCTGCCTCTGCCACCATCACCACCACATTCTTGCAAACCTGAGTGAATATATTCCTGACCAGTCTAGTCTCTCATCATACAGTCATTGGCCTAGTGGTATTATGGCTGGATCGTTAATCCAGATTCCCAAGTAATGCTCTGGGACCCGGGTTCAGTTCCCGCCACGGCAGATGGAATTTGAATTCCCTATAAATCTGGAATTAACAGTCAGAATTAAGAGTCTGATGTTGACCATGAATCCACTGCTAATTGTTGGAAAAACCCATCTGGTTCACTAATGTCCGTTAGGGAAGCAAACTGCCACCCTTACCTGGTCTGGCCTACACGTGATTCCACACAGCAATGTGGTTGACTCTGAACTGCCCTCTGGGCAATTGCTGGCTTGGCCAGTGACACCCACATCCCAAGAATGAATTTTTAAAAAAAACAGTCCTGCCATGCCAGGAATCAGAAGATGAACCTTTGTTACACTCTGTCCATAGCCAGAACATCCTTTCTCAGATGAGACCAAAACTTTGCACACTGCATGGCTTCACCAAGGCCCTATACAACTGCATTAAGACATCCCTGCTCCAGTCTCTGAATCCTCTCCCTGTAAAGGCCACCGTACCATTTGCTGCTTTCTAGACCTGCAGTGCTTGCTTCCAGCTGTACATGTACACCCAGGTTGCGTTGCACCTTTCCCTTCCTCGCCACCTGCTGCTCCTGAATCCTTCGGGTAGCAATGCTGCCCTTAGAGGAGATAGCTGTTGCAGGTTTGAAAGGTGCTGCCATAGGAGCTGAGACTAGTTGACTGCAGCACATCTTGTAGATGGCACTGTCCAGAACTTCTGTTTCTCCTCTCTCCGGTGGGTTTTGTCAGCTCACTAATCTATCCTTATTCCTAGTAAGAGACTTGCGGACAACGGAAGGACTGACATCGGTTTGTTTGCAAGTTGTTGGGAGTAGCCTATGTGAAGGAAGGAGAGAGAGGAGAGAGGCAAGTCAAAATCACTGACTGTTACTTTGCTGTTTGTTTTCCTTCTTCCAGTACTGCTGCCCCCAGCTGCTGAATCCTCCGACACCCACCAAGGCCTCTCAGCAGCAACCCCACCCAGCACCCCCTGCACCGCCGCCACCACCACCTCCTCCTCCTCCCCCACCGCCGCCACCCCCTACCCCACCCACAGTACCACAACAGCAGCAGCAGCAGCAACCGTCTGCCAAGCTGGCTGAGCCCACGCAGGGCAAACTCATCATGCTGGTGGACGATTTCTACTATGGGCGGGATGAGGGCAGCACCTATCAGATGCTTCAGGAAATGAAGACCAACACGACCTTCAGGTGCCTCAGCTGTTTGAAACGACTGAAGAACAACATCAGGTACTCTCAGTCACTCCCAAAACGCTTCTCATCTTGTCTCTCCAGGTACCCACCACCCTCTGGGTGGGTGTCCTCTCTAACCCTTACATTAAAACTGTTCCCACCGGTCATTAACACCTGTACAAAATTTTTCTCCCTTTCGGGAGAGACTGGGACTCGTTAAAACAGCTCAGAATCTCCTAGCCTTTGGCATCAAGGGTGAAAGGGATTAGAGGACAGTGGAAAGCACTGACTTTCGGTGAGCCTCCTTAGGTTAGTGTAGTGAAGCTTTTGGGTTGGACCTGATGGGGAGATGAAAGTGGAACCCTTACCCTGAACTGGCAAGGCTGTCACCACCACCACCTCTAGTTTACACCTGTGATATCTTGACAGACGCTGCTAGCCCACACATTAATGTTGAAATGGCATTAACAGAGTCAGAGATATACAACACAATAACAGACCCTTTGATCCAACTTGTCCTTGCTGACTAGATATCCTATAAAAATCTAGTCCCGTTTGTCAGCATTTGGACCATTTTTCTCTTAAACCCTTCCTATTCATGTACCCATCCAGATGCCTTTTAAATGTTGGAATTGTACCAGCACCCTCCACTTCCTCTGGCAGCTAGTTCCGTACACGCAGCACCCTTTGCGTGAAAAAGTTGCCGATTAGGGCCCTTTTAGATCTTACCCCCTCACCTTAAACCTATGCCCCTCTAGTTTTACACCCGCCCACTCCGGAAAAAAGTCCTTGCCTATTTACTCTGTTCATGCCCCTCATGATTTTATAAACCTCTATAAGGTCACCCTTCAGCCTCTGATACTCCAGGGGAAAATAGCCCCAGCCTATTCAGCCTCTCCCTGTAGCTCAAACTCTCCAACTCTGGCAACATCCTCGTAAATCTTTTCTGAACCTTTTCAAGTTTCACAACATCCTCCCTAGAGGAGGGAGATCAGAATTGCATGCAATATTCCAAAAGTGGCCGAATCAATGTACTGTACAACTGCAACATGACCTCCCAACTCCTATACTCAATGCACTGACCAATAAAGGTAAGCATACCAAACGCCATCTATTCTATCTACCTGCATCTCCACTTAGAAGGAGCTATGAACCTGCACCCCAAGGTCCCTTTGTTCAGCAACACTCCACAGGCCCTTATCATTAAGTGTATAAGTCCTACCCTGATTTGCCTTTCCAAAATGCAGCACCTGACATTTATCTAAATTAAAGTCCATCTGCCAATCCTTGGCCCACTGGTCCACCTGATCTGGATTCCATTGTACTCTGAGGTAACCTTCGCTGTCCACTATGCCTCAAATTTTAGTGTAATCTGGAAACTTACTAACCATACCTCCTGTATTCACATCCAAATCATTTTATATAAATGAGAAAAAGCTGTGGACCTAGCACCGATCCTTGCGGCACATCACTGATCGCAGGTCTCCAATCCGAAAACCACCCCTCCACCACCACTCTCTGTCTTCTACCTTTGAGTCAGTTCTGTATCCAAATAGCTAGTTCTCTGTGTATTCCATATGACCTAACGTTTCTAACCAGTCTACCGTGAGGAACCTTGTTGAATGCCTTTCTGAAGTCCATATAGATCGCATCCACTGCTCTGCCCTCCTCAGTCCTCTTCAATACTTCTTCAAAAAAGCTCAGTCAAATTAGCAAGACATGATTTCCCACGCATAAAGCCATGTTGACTATCCTAATCAGCCCTTGCCTTTCCAATACATGTAAATCCTATACCTCAGGATTCCCTCCAAAAGCTTGCCCACCACCAGTGTCAGGCTCACCGGTCTATAGTTCCCTGGCTTTTCCAGCACCCCTCCAGTGGCTGTCGATGATACAGATATCTCAGCAAGGGGCTCAGCAATCACTTCGCTAGCTTCCTGCAGAGTACTAGGGTACACCTGATCAGGTCCTGGGAATTTATCCCCTTTTATGTGTTTTATTACCTCCCTGTATAATATGGTTATTTTTCAAGATGTCGCTATTTATTTCTCCACATTGTGTAACTTTTATATCTTTACAGTAAACACTGATGCAAAATACTCAATTAGTATCTTCCCCCATCTCCTCTGGTTCTACACATTCGCAGAGTTGCTGATCTTTTGAGGGGCCCTGTTCTCTTCATAGTTGCCCTTTTATCCTTAATGTATTTGTAGAATTCCTTTGGATTCTCCTTAGCCATATTTGCCAAAGCTATTTGATGTCCCCTTTTCGCTCTCCTGATTTCCCTTAAGTATATTCCTACTGTCCTTCTACTCTTGTAGGGATTCGCTCCAACTCAGCCATGTGTTCTAAAGCTACTAGGTTGTAGCAGGTGGCTGAGTCTGGGGTCTGGGGCAAGTACATTCCTCCTCCCTTCTCCCTCCCCCCCCAAAAACTCCACCTTTGTTCTTTTTGTTATGTTGCTGCAGTGATGATGTTTAACCAAAATTAATGCAATTAACTGGTCACCCTAAATGGTTGCAGGTTTATGAACCACATGAAGCACCATCTGGAACTGGAGCAACAGAATGAAGACACCATCGAGAACCACACGACCTGCCAGCACTGCTTCCGCCAGTACGCCACTCCGTTCCAGCTTCAGTGCCATATCGAGAATGTGCACAGTCCCTATGAGACTACCAGTAAGTGCCGCCTTATCAAAACCCCATTTTTCACCCTTTTACCTCCAGTGTTGCAGCTTTGCATCAGAGCGGCAGTGTTGGGTAGTGTCAGAGAGGAGCAGGGGAGCCATGTGAGACTAATGCGCATCAGCCCCTGGCTGAGTGGTGACCCCACCCCTCAAAAGGCAGAAGTTTTAAGTCCCTACTGCAGATGATTCCATTTCGTAGGATCAAGTTACTGCAGATGCTGGAATCTGTACTGACAATAAAAAATGCTGGAGTTCTTTTTTTTATTCGTTCGCGGGATGAGGCCATTGCTGGCTTAGCAGCATTTATTGCCCATCCCTAATTGCCCAGAGGGCAGTTAAGAGTCAACCACATTGCTGTGGGTCTAGAGTCACATGTGGGCCAGACCAGGTAAGGATGGCAGTTTCCTTCCCTGAAGGACATTAGTGAACCAGATAGGTTTTTCCAACAATCGACAATGGATTCATGGTCATCATTAGATTCTTAATTCCAGATATTTTTATTGAATTCAAATTCTGCCATCTGCCATGCGGGATTTGAATTCAGCTCCGCAGAACGTTATCTGGGTCTCTGGATTAACAGTTCAGCGATGATACCACTAGGCCATCACCTCCCCACCGCGGGTCAGGCAGCATCCATGGAGAGAGAGCAAGCTAACGTTTCCAATCTAGATGACTCTTCATCAAAGCCATCTAGAATCAAAACATTAGTTTGCTTTCTCTCCTTGGATGCAACCTGACCCACTGTGATCTCCAGTATTTTATGATTCCATTTAGCGTTGCAGAGGTCCGGTCCTGAGGGAATGCTGCACTATCGGAGGGTCAGCAGTGAGGGAATAGGCACTATCGGAGGGTCAGCAGTGAGGGAATGGGCACTATCGGAGGGTCAGTAGTGAGGGAATAGGTGCTGTTGGAGGGTCAGCAGTGAGGGAGCAATGCACTGATGGCGGGTCAGTGCCGAGGGAGTGGCAGTATCGGAGGGTCACCGGTGAGGGATTGCCACACTGTCCGAGGGGATGTTTTTCAGGGTTAAACTGTGTTTCCCAAGTGGCCCCCTCAGCTGGAAGTAAAAATTTCAAGAGCTGCACAGGAAGAAGACTGGGAGTATGGTAGTGGGTCTCTCCTGTGGTCTGGGCGAACTCTAATCCTATAGCCAACATTAATGAAAACCATATTGCCAAGTATAGGATCTCCATTCAAATGGGAGGGAGTTCCAGGATTTTGACCCAGTGACAGTGAAGGAATGATGATAAACTTCCAAGTTGGGATGGTGTGTGTGTGAAACTGTAGGGGATGATGTTCCCCAATATCTGCTGCGTTGGTCCTTTTGGCAATTAGAGATTGTGGGATTGGAAGGTTGTGGAGGGAACCTTGGTCCATCTCTGCAGTTCATCTTGTAGAGGGCAAGCAGTGCTAACACGGTTAGTGATTGTGGGCGTGAATGTTGAAGATGGTGGATGATGTGCCAGTCAAACAGAGTTGTTGGCGATGGTTATTCATGGCACAGAATTAGGCTGTATAGCCCATTGAGGCCATGCTGGCTCTGTGTAGAGCAGCAAAGTCAATCCCATTCTCCTGTTTTTATCCCATAACCTCAGTCAGTTTTTATTTCCCTCGAGTGTCCGTTCAACCTCTTTCTTGGGAATAGAGATTGCAGTTTTGGAATGTGCTGATAAAGGGCATATTTAATCAAGAGATGGTCTCGGGGTTGTAACAATCTTTCTCAAAGCTGTCACCTGTTTCTCTCCGATTGCAGCAAAGTGTAAGATCTGTGAGCTGGCCTTTGAAACGGAACAGCTTTTCCTGCAGCACATGAAGGACACCCACAAACCAGGAGAAATGCCGTACGTCTGTCAGGTAAAGTTCCATTCTCGTGATTGGGGTGCTAATCCAGTGCGTTTGTTAAAAACGTTTTTGTGAGGCATGGGTGTTAATGGCTGGGCTAGCATTTATTGCTCTTCCCTAGTTTCCCTTAGAAAGATGGTGGTGAGCTGCTTCCTTGAACCTGCTGAAGCCTGTGTGTGGTGTAGCAGCATCACAGTGCCGTTAGGAGAGTTTCTGGGATTTTCATCCAGCAGCACAGAAAGAAAGGCCAATATATTTCCAAGCCAGGATGGGGTGAGGGTGTGCGCGTGTGTGTCTGTCTGTCTGTCTGTATTCGTGCCGGCCTCTACCTGTTGATGGATTGTGATATCTTTAGCATAACTGCCTCGCTTTTGTTTGTCCGTTCCGTGCCTCTTGTTTAAAAAACCAAAGGAATGAAATTGGAATGCAGGATCTATTTGTGCATGGGTGGGAACGTACAAAAGCGTCTACTCTTGGGGAAATCGTAGGTGCTGGCTGATACCTTGCATTGTCAAGACTGTATGCAGAGGAACAGTCTTTAATCCATGGGAGTGTCAATGGCTGCTGGATGCTAACAGGATTCTGAGCCCAGGGAGGGGAGTTGAAGTTTGCACTGGATGAGGAGAGTGAAATTTCTGGGAGAAGAAAGGGTGTGTTGTGGGTAGGTTCGAGATTCCCTTGGACAGTTCAGGTACTGTGGGTCAACTGCTGAGACCCATTTGATTTTGTATCTGGCAGGTGTGCGAATATCGCTCGTCGGTGTACTTGGAAGTGGATAACCATTTCCGAATGATTCACGAGGACACTAAGAATCTGCTCTGCCCGTACTGTTTCAAAGTGCTGAAGAACAGTAGTGCCTACCAGCAACACTACATGAAGCACCAGGTGAGTGTCTCTCTGAAGGTGGGCGCACTCCATCAGAGACAGGTTGCGTCAGTACCTGGGCAGAATTGAATCTGATTCCCTCACCCTGGGTCAGTTATTGCACGCCACGCGCTGCTTCCAAGTTCCAGAATCTTCCTGGGGCGAGTCAGCCTTCTGGCCTTGCACTTGTTGTGACAGCGCTTTCAGAATGGTGCTCCTGTGAAGCTGTCTTCCAGGGGCAAGGATGCTGAGTCTGGCTTGCCCCAATGTCTGGAATGGCCCAAGACCGGCAGGCTTTTACCTGATAATTTTCTTTTGTCTTTTGGATGTAGTTGTCACTGGTCAGGTTGGCATTTATTGCCTGTCCCCAGTTGCCCATAGAGTTGGTGATGAGGCCATGTATCTGCTGTCCTTGTCCTCCTCCAGGGTAGATGATTGGATCATAATTTCCTGCCTCCTGTTGTTGCGTTGCTGGTCAGGTGTACTCTTTTCGGCATTCTCTTCATCGTTTTGTCTTTGTTTCAGAAGAAGAGTGTCTACCCCTGTAACAAGTGCAGACTCCAGTTCATCAGCGCCAAGGAGAAAATGGAACACAAAGTTGAACACCATAAGACATTTAAGAAACCGAAGCAGCTGGAAGGACTGCAGCCTGGTACCAAGGTTGAGGACAGATTTGTGATCTTCCTTCCATAGCCTGAACCCCCATCTCTCTCTCTCCCTCTTCTTTCTGTCTCTCTTTAGTGTGTGTGTTCTCTCTCTCCTTCTCGTGCTCTGTCTCTTGCATACTGTCTTTCTGTTCCTTCCCACCTCACTTTGCTGGATGCATTTTTGAAGCAAAGGTTTTCATGAGTGTCGACATGTACAGCATTTGAATTATAGGCCAGGGTCTAGTTGGGTCTAGGATTGTTCAGTCCATCTTATTCTGAATTATCCCTCCCTAATAGGCAGAGCAGCATAATCAGTGTGGCTGTGTCAACAGAACTGACATGAGCTTCCCTTGTTTTGGATGGAGAATCACCAGATAGTGTTCTCGTCTACTCCTCTCTTCCCATCTTCTCTCTTTCTCACTCGTACTCTCATACTGTCTGTCTCTCTCTCACACACTCATTCACACACATTCTCAGACCCTATCTCTCTCTCTCCACACTCTCTCATACTGTGTCTGTCTCACTGTCTCTGTTGCTCCCTTTTGACCACCGCCGCCCCCCGACCACCCGCTTTCATCCTCCTTAGAAAGAAAAGTGGAATATCCTCTCCAGAGCAGGAACTGAGCCGTGGTGCTTATAGCAGAGAAGGAGGCTTACTGTGCATGTGGTGACTCTTACCAAGAGCAGTGCCATTTGTGTCCTCTTGCCCCACCTTGCTCTTTCCATCCAAGGCCTGCAGAGCTTTCCATTTTAGCTATTGTGTTTGACAACTTTGGAGACACACCTGCGCATGCACAGGCAGTCAAGGAATGGACTGAGTTACCGATCTTTTTATTTTGAATCTCAGGTCACAATAAGAACCTCGATGGGACAGGCCCGTGCCGCTGGAGGGCCCGTGCAAGAGGTCCCCGCCAGAAAGGTGTACCCCCCGGTGATGCCTCCGAAGCCACAGGAGCCTCCAGCTTGCTCAACGGTTCACACAGTCCCTTCGGTCCCCAAGCCCGTGCCCAAGGCAGAGAAGAGGAAGGCGGTGGAGAGGATAAGCCCGTTGCTCATAGACATGCAGGACATAAGGTGGGTGCTGTGCGAACGAACACACACACAGTCACACACCCTGTCGCGATGGACATGCACGAGCCCCAAGGAGCATGGGTCTCTTAGGTTTTGTTCATCCTTTTTCTGGTTCTGGCTGCACCTCTGGAGGAAGTTGGCTCTCGACAGTGAGTGGCGGCTGCCTTCCACTGCAGCGCCCTTGCTTTTTCCCAAGGAATTATCTGCAGCATTTATTTGCATGTGGGCCTCCTGAAAATGGCATTCCTTTCCCTTCCAAACCCCGTCACTGGAGAAGGAAAGGCATGAGGTGAGCTGCTAGAAGTAGGAAATGTCTAATTTGGAGTTGTACGCAGTGGGTGATCTCTGACTCTCATCCTTAGAGGAAGGGAGTTTGAGACCCCACTCTAAGACTCAATCTCACTTATTCAAGCTGATTCTCCCAGTGGCGGGGTTGGTGGAGTGCCATGCTAGCGGATTTCCAAAACGTGCCAGCCTTCAGATGGCAAATTTAAACTGAAACTGCTCTGAAACCCCAACCCACCCACAAAAGTGCCCTTTATAGTGGACGTTGGAGTGACACACTTGTGGCTTGGAAGCACAGCCCCCATGCGGCGGGTGGGCAGGTGCTTTCACTCCATCGCCCACCGATCAGCATCAGCTCTGAGGTGGGTGTGGGGAGGGGTGGGCTAAAAGCACAGGCGATCGGATTAGGTCATTATTGCATTGCTCTTTGTGGGATCTCGCTGTGCAGAAATGTGGCATTTCCCCATGTGACAACAACGACTGACCTTTTGTGTTGGGTCGGCATGAGAAAAGGTACGTCATTGGCTGTGGATTGTTTCTGGACCACCCCAAAGCTGTGAAAGGTGTTGGAGGACTCCCCCCACACACACACAGACAGACACCAGCAAGTTGTATTTACCCTGTTGATTTTTTTCAAAATCCTTGGCGTTGTTTTTAAAGCGCTGCTGTCCTGCGGGGGGCTGAAATTCTGCTGTCTTCTCTTCAACCCTGACAGGAAGCTGTACGGTAACCAGGTCTGTCTGGAGTGCAACATAGACATCACTAACGTCAGCAACGTCAGCAACCACTTCCCCACTTACGTGCACTGCTCCCGCTGTCGGTACAGCACAAGCTGCAGCCGGGCTTATGCTGATCACATGATCAGGTAGGACACCTTCTCCCCCAACCTCCCCCCTCCACACCCACCTACTCACCCTCCCCACACACGCATGCACGCACCTATACGCACACAGTCTTCTCCGTGACCTGGACATACGAGTGCACAGATGATGCAAAACTCTTCCCAGGAAGGTGAGGCAAAGATCAGCTGGAAACGTGGGCATCTAGAAGAACACTAAAGCGTTGGAACAGATGAGATCCTGGAGGGGTGGGCACTGAGAGGATGCCTCTCTCCCACCACCCACACACCTTGTGGGGCAATGTAGAACCAGGGCAAGGGGACACGGTTTCATGATGAGGGGTCTCCTGTTCAACACGGAGCTGGGGACGAATTTCTTCTCTTGCAGGGTCGTGGGTCTGTGGAATTCCCTCTCCGAGAGCATTGGGAGCCAAGTCACTGAATACATTCTAAGGCCTGCGTTAGATTTTGGATTGACAAAGGGAAGTGGAGGTGGGGGAGCACCTGGGAGCGGACAAGAAAACACGGCTTGCAACGGATCACCTGTTATCTTGCAACACTGTGTTGCGGGGAGTTTTTAAAGGGGGAAGCTGGGTAAATTTTTGACTGAGTCAGGAGTAGAAGGGGTGGGGGAGGGTTTGGAAGATGGAGGGAGTGGTGATGCAGGAAGAGGCTTGTATGGAGCAGAAGTATCAGCACAGAGCAGAGAGGCTGAGCAGCCTGCTCCCATGCATATATGCATTGTTAGCTGTTTATACACAGCACCTGCCATGCCTCCACCCGTAATCCAACTGTACCACTGACACAGGAACCCACATTGTCGATGTTTACAGCTGAAGCTATGTAAACCTGCTCCCTGCTGATTAACTGTAGCTGCCCTCCCAGCTTCGTAATCTTTTAGAGTTTTTGAACTCCCACTGTTTTGATCTGGTGGTTCTATTTAGCACGATTGTCATCGTGACTGTAACAACATGCAGGCTGAATCTGGTCTGTTTTCTAATGCACCCTTCTCTCACTTAATTTTCCAACTCTCACCGTCAAAAATAAAACTTAAGCTAAGTTGCTTACATCTCTTGGGCATTTTGTTTACACAGACCCAGTTAAACTCACTGTTTCTGCGAGCAATGAAATGCATCAAACCTTTGTTTTGACTAAGTATTTTGATTGCTGCCTTCACAAGTTTCGTGTCATCTGCAAGGTGCGAAATTAAAACACTGATGTATTCGAGTGCCAGGTCGGTTCGTGTGTGTTAAATACCTTCCCAGCGTTTTTGTCAGTGGTGCGTTTTAATACTCCTGAGCAATGTTCATTAGTCCAGCTCTTCTTTATTCTGCAGTTACCACACTCAACGCGGGAAACCAAAATACTTGATGTTTGGAAAAGTGAAGAAAAGGTAATTAGTTTCAACTTCAGCTCCTTGAGAGTCGAGGCCCACTTTTTTTTTTTCTTTCTTGTTTTTGTCCTCTTCCCGAACTGTGTCACGTTATAAAAACCAGAGGACTGCCTTGGGCCCTAGACAATGCCTGAGGAAGTGGTAGCTGCAAATGCGCAGGATGTACCCATGATGCCGTACATATGGGGCAACCTACTCTTTCTGGGCTTATACGCTTTCTGGTGTCTTGGTATGTTTTGCAGCTGGGATAAAGAGGTCTGGACTGCTAAAATACACCCCTCCCAATCCCAAACACACACACACACAAACCCTAACCCACGAAGTCCACCCCGTCCCACCCTGCCCTGGGGTTTGGCAAAACATCCTCTTCCTGGACCCCTGCTGCTATGTCTTGTGATGTACATGCTCTGTCTAACATGCGAAGTAACAAAACGTAGTCAAGGAATCAGACCAACCATGAGCGTGTAGATGATTTCTTTTAACCAGTTCAGATGTCTTATGAAGCAGGTGGGACTTGAACTGGGGCTTTGTGGTTCAGAGTCAGCGCCCTTGTGAGAAAAATGCATATTCATCTGACCACCTCTGAACCCTTACCCCGCTAAGCACCAGTCCCAGTCCTGACCAGCCTCTTGCTGTCCCAGTGTGCTTAACAGTAGCTTAGGTGAAGTTGCGGTGGGTGCTAAATTGGGGGACCCTTATTCTCGGCTGCTGTGCTGGTCAGCCTGCAATACTGGGCTGCTGCTGCTCTTGCTCTGCACTCTTAGTCCTCGATGGAAAGGTGTACCCCATGCTCTTGTTGGTGGACTCGTACAGCCTACTCACTTGTATAACACATGGCCGTGTCAGTGACACAGTAGGGGACAGTTGATAAGAAAGACTTAGATTCCTATAGTGCTTTTCATATCCTGGGGGCATCCAAAAGCTCTGTACAGCCAATCAATTATTTTTGAAGTGCCATAAAATAGGAAACATGGGAGCTGACTTGCATGCAAATGGCTCCAAGAAACAGCAATGTGATAATGACCCAGTTCAGTTTCTTCTTTCAGTGCTGGTGGTTCAGGGAGAAATACTGGCACTGGGCAGAACCTACCCCACCCCACCCCACCCCACCCAGATTCTGGAGTGGGGTCCTCAAGCCGAGCCCATGACCTTCAAACTCTGAGACAGGGTGGCTGGCCTCTCGGGCCTGGATGGCAGCTCGTACTTAACGATTGCCATTCAGTTTTGCTCTTTGTGGGATGGTGTGAATTGGGTGGGGGCAGGGTGTGGTGTTGTTTGACCAAGTCCCTCACCAACAGGAGTAATGTCTGCTTCTTGACAGCGCGATTCTACTTGTCTGCACGTCCTGTACGTTTGCCGTCGAGACAGGAGACGGAGACGAGATGGCCCAGCACCTGGATCAGAACCCGGGCCACGGACCCTGTTGCTTTGTGACGTTTTCAGGTGAGCAGCGGCAGGTGGTGATTGGCATTGGAGGTTGGCAAAATGAGTGCTGAAACTGGGAAGCTAGAGGGGACAGCTGGAGCCGGGGTAGCGGGTGGTTGCTGAGGAGGGGGTTAGAGGCAGGAATGTCAGGCGTTGGAGGCAGTGCTGTTTGGTGGAGGAGGCAGGGGAGTCTTGGGAGTCAGAGGAGGAGAGGGGAGTGTTGGTGGGTGTCAGGAGCTGAAGAGGGTTGGCGGATACAGGAGCTGTAGACTCCCCAGAGGGTGGAAGCAGGCTATTCGACTGTCGAGTCCACACTGACCCCCCCCCATCACCGAAGACTATCCCATCCAGACCCACCCCGCCTACCCTATCCCTGTAACCCTACATTTCCCATGGGTAATCCACCCAACCTGCACATCCCCGGACGCTGTGGGCAATTTAGCATGGCCGATCTCCCAATCCACCTAACCTACATGTCCTTGGACCGTGGAAGGAAACCGGAGCACCCAGAGAAAATCCACACAGACAGAGGGAGAATTTGCAAACTCCACACAGACACTGAACCTGGGCCCCTGGCCACTGCGAGGCAGCAGTGCTAACTGCTGAGCCTCCGTTCCGCCCATGGAGGGAGAGGGGCTTGGCAGCGTCAAGAAGGTGAAGAGGCATGTGAGAGGGTGATGGGGATTGGCTGGGGCGGGAGAATGTTGGTGAGTGCCGGAGGAGGACTCCTCGATGTATAACAGTTGCATTGTCCTGGGTTTTGACAATTACAGAATCCCTCTGTTTATTTTTGTTGCATTTTCATGTGTCTCCTTCATCTTTGTTTGACAGTGGGGGATCGCAAGGGGAAAGCAGCCAAAGTGATGGAGGAACCACCGCCAGTCTTGCAGTCAAAGCTCACAGCCTCTGATTCCGAAATGGAAGAGGTGGGGAATGGCAGTGCACAGAACCCTAAGGCTGATGAAGAACGGAAAGATGAAAGTCTGGGTAAGGAAGGGTTAAAAAGATTTCGTTGCACAAGTGAGTCCGTCAACCAGCTGCTTTCCTTCCCGTCCGTCATAAATGCTGTTCACACCAGTGTTTGCGTTTGCCCATAATCTTCCATCTAAGCACCTGGAGCCTTTAGTTTATGAGCCCAGCCGTCACTGGGACTGGCCAAAGGCACATTGTAGATTGAAGGTGAGGCAGAGGCAAGGTTTACCTGTCATTGTCTCCTTATAAAGGAGGGGCAATGGAACGCATGGGGCATTACACACAACAAAGAGACTGAGGCCCAAGATCCTGACTCCCAAGCCAGACATCTACCTTGACAAGAGGGCAAGATGGGAAACTCTAGCAGACAGGACAAACCAACGTGCATTTTAGCTCTGTGATGAGGGAGCCGTCGTGGTCCTGGTGGGAAGTGAATTTGGATGCCGCAACTGAGGGTGCTTGTACTGTCAACACCACCCCCCACAAAAAAACGATCCTCATGGTTCTTGTGTGGAAATACCAGCTGTTAGAGCATTGAGCTTTTCTTTCAGCAGCTGTCACATCCATCTATCCATTTGGGCGACTTCTGAGATCTCTGCTTGTGTCGCCTAAGCACTGGCTGCTAAAGAGGAGAGGTGGGCTGCATAGTGGGGCTTTCGGGTTTGCTTGTAGGGCAGTAAGTGTTGACGGGGCTTGCGGACAGGAAGGAACCAACTAGGGGTCTGCCAGTGGCCTGTGTCATTCAAGCAGGAAGGAAGGGGAGATAGATGATGGAAGCTGCAACACGCAGCCATGTCTGTGAAGAACTTGGAAATGCTGACCCTGCCTACACGTGTTTATAGTCTTCAGAACAAAATAGGGCCTATCGTCCTGGTAACAGAATAATGCATGAAGATTTTGAGAGTTAAAATACATCAGACGTGCCTCAGTGATATTGTTCTGATGTCACTTGCATGTATATTTGACGTACTGTGATTCAGAGGAGGTATATTTGGAATGTGAAAATCAAAGGCAGGATTAGCATCCTGAGTTGTCAATGGAACCCCACTTGGATTGCTTAAATGCATTTCAGAATGGGGAATGCAATCTGTCATTAAGACTAAATATTTAGTCAGGAAAGGAGTCAAGGGTTACGGAGAACAGGCAGGAAAGTGGAATTGAGGATCATCAGATCAGCCGCAATCTCATTGAATAGTGGAGTGGATCTGATGGGCCAAATGGCCTACATTCACTACGTCTTGTGACATACGCATTCTCTAACGTGCAATGTAATAAAACATGTTGTCAAGGAATCAGGCTAGCCATAACCACGTAGATGTTAATTAACCAGTTCAGATGTATTATGGCACCACTTTGAAGTGGGTGAGATTTGAACTTGGGCTTTGTGGTTCAGAGGTGGGGACACCACCACTGTGCCACAAGAACCTTCACCGTAACCATGTAAGCTACTTATTATAGATATACTTCAGGTGCTTGTCATTTCTCTGATCTCTGAACAGATCGGAAATATGTTTTGGGTTTTGCATGACCTTATCTGATTTCTGAACACATCTCTCACCTCTGTAGATCCGCCCATCAGCGAGGTCAGGAGTCCAATTGCCAAGTAAGTACATGTTGCATTGAGTTCACTGGGCTTCCATTGGCTGGGTGGAGGGGTTGATGTGACCTGTGAGGAGCTGTGTGGGGGTCACTGCGATTGGTCTTGCAATAAAAAGTTAGTGCAAAAGTGATTACATCAACCCCACTGTACTTCCTTCCCATCTATAATTTGTAGTTCAGCCCAGTGCTGTCCGGGGAATGTTTGAGGGGGACAGTGTCAAGGGTGCTTTGCTTTGAGTTTAAAAAGTAGAGAGTTTTACTTTCAGTTTAAGAGTAGAGACAGTTACCCTATATCTAACACCATGCAGTCACTGTCCTGTGAGTGTTTTGATGTGGGCGGTGCAGAGGGAGCTTTACTTTCAGTTTTAAAGAAGTAGAGAGAGGTTGACCTTCAGTTTAAAAGAATAGAGAGAGTTTTACTTTGTTCCTGTCAAACACTCCCAGGACAGCATGTAGTTAGGTACAGAATAAAACTTCCTCTACTTTGTTCCCCATCAAACAACTCAGGGCAGGACAGCAGGGGTTAGATGCAATGTCAAGGGAGCTTTACTTTTGGTTTAAAAGAGTAGAGATGGCAATACCATGTATCTACTCCCTATCCTGGGAGCAGAAGATGGGGAGCATGTAAAGGGTACATTTCTCCATATCTAACACCGTGCTGTACCTGTACTGGGAGTGTTGAATAGTGACAGTACAGAGGAGGCTTTACCTGCAGTTTATTCGAGTAGAGGGTGCTTTACACTGTATGTAATTCCCACGCTGTACCTGTCCTGGAGTGTTTGAAGGGGACAGTGTTGAGGAAGGTTTACTTTCCGTTTGAAAGAGTCATGGGAGCTTTACCCTGTATCTAATCTTATTCTGTCGGTTTCCTTGGGAGTATTTAATGGGGTCTGTGTAGTTTTTGACTTCCTGTTCAAAAGGAATCTTTGTGTTCACCTTTAGAAAGTAGCAAAAGCTTCACTGTGTATCCAATCCCTGGTGTACCATCATTGTCAGTGTATCTTTGTGCGGGTTTCCTTCTTTAGAAAGTTGAGGACTAAGGGCAAGGATAAATTTCTCGTTTAGTGTTTACGTTATTGAATGGGACATAGAGCAGTAAAACACAGGAAAAGACCCTTCTGCCCACCGTGTCTGCACTGACCACAATGCCATTCTAAACTCGTCCCATCTGCCTGAATGTGGTCCATATCCCTCTATCCCCTGCCTGTTCATGTACCTGTTTAAATGTCTACGTGCAGCATGTTCTAGCACCTATAAAAAAAAACTTGCCCCTCACATCTCATGTTATGTTTCCCCCTCTCACCTTAAACCTAAGTACCCTAGTATTTGACATTTCCACCCTGGGAAAAATCTCCGACTATCCACTTTATCCATGCCTTTCTGGATTTTTTTATGCTTCTATCAGGTCGCCCCTCAGCGTCCAAGGATTTCACTTAATGCAGTTCTCCTGTCTTATCGTCATAATCCTATATATTGTTCCTTTTCAAATAACAGCCTAATTCCATTTTGAATGCCTCAATTGAACTTGCCTCTACCACTCTCTCAAGCACTATACTGTAGATCTTCCTGGGTGAGAAGGGGATGGCAGGTAAGATGGGTGACTGTGTGCCCAGGGGCAGACGGAGCATTAGTCAGAGAATCTGTTTGAAATTTCACTGAACCGTTGATGAGTATCCTGGATTCTCTGTTCCTTCCTCCAGTCCAGAATTAGTTAATCCATTTTGTTTGTTTATCTGCCCCTCTTAGGTCTCAGCAAGTCAAGACTGTGCGGCTGAGCACTGTCTGTTCCAGCAACTACATCAACGCAAAGATCAGTACCTGGCCAGCCCTCGCCAGCTCACCAACCCCTCCTGCAGCTGCCAATGATGGCAATGAATTAGGAGCAGGAGAAGGCCATTCAGCTCCTCCAGAGCCTGGGAGTCCAATCTGTGTGGAGGAAGACAGGAGCAGTTCAACTCCCATTTACATTGCGGAGGACAAGAACCTCTCAAGCCCAGAACATCCTGCAGAGGAGGAAAACCGCTCAAGTCCCGTCTGCGTTGCGGAGGACACGAGTGATTCAAGCCCAGTGCTCGTGGAAGAAGACAAGAATGTTTTGACTCCTGTGTGCGAAGAAGAGAACCAGAATGGTTCGAGTCCACCGTGTGTGGCGAACGAGGATGAGGCTGCCTCGAATCTGGAGTCTGTTGAAGAGGAGGGCGAGTTGTCCAAGGCAGATGATGACGGTGAGAGCCAGCATCAAGAGTTGCCCCCGAGGAGGAAGTCCTTGTCCGAGCACGAGTTTAAGGTGGTGCTGCACGCATTGTGCTGTGGCATGCGGGCTGCCACAGAACGATACAGCGAGACGCGGAGCCAGGTGGAGCAGTGGCTGAATGAGTGCGCACAGCAGCTTGATTTACTGAGTGTCCACAGCGAGTCTGGGGCCTCGACCCTCCTGTCCTCTGAGGCCGAGGAGCGGCTGGTCGAGTGGGTGCTGGTGCAGAGGGAGAGGCAGCTCCCCCTCACCGAGGAGACCTTCCTGCTGAGACTTTCGGAACTGCTGGGGTCCCAGGACCAGGTCGGTGATTCCGACTCTTTCCGCTGCCTCTGGGGGGTGGGCTTCCTCCTGAGGCACAACCTCATCGCCTACGCCAAGATTACGGTGGCCCGTGAACTGCCGAGGGAGATGGAGGACAATGCCCGTAGCTTCCTGGAGTTTGCCCAGCGCCAAATTGCCGGCCGTGACTTCCCCCGCCGAATGATTGGCAACATGGACGAGATCCCGATCTTTCTGGAGCCTGAGGTCCTAAGCCGGCCTGAGGGCACCCCGGGGGGCCTGAGGGTGACCGGCACCGGGCAGCCGCAGTTTGTGGTTGTCTTTACCATCCTGGCAGATGGTGGCCTGCTGCCCACTATGGTGTTCTCCCGAGGAGGACTGCCGCCGTGGCTGACGGTACCCACTGGTGTCCTCCTGGAGGTGAAGGAGACAGGCCACGGAGAGTCCGAGGTGTTGGAGCTATGGCTGAACCGGGTGTGGAGGCAACACGCGGCCCAGGCCCGGCGCGGCCGGAGCGCCCTGGTGCTGGACGCCGATCGGCAGCACCTCTCCGACGGCTTCATTGACCGCCTGAGCCGCTGCTGCTCCCTGCCCCTCATCATCCCCGGTGGCTGCACCTCCAGGCTCCAGCCCCTCGACATGTGTGTCAGCCAGGCTTTCCGGAACTTCCTGCAGAAACGCTGGGCTGAGTACGCCCGCGAGGCGCGCTGCTACCGCGATGTCTACGGCGATGTGCTACAGTCCCTGCTCAACTGGGTGGCGGAGGTGGCCGATTTCATTGCTGCCAATGGGGACCTGGTGCGGCAGTCCTTTGTGGCTTCCAGCCTGCTGCCGGGCACCACCTCGGCTCAGCACAGGGTGGCGGTGCAGGAGGAGCTGGTCAGCTTCCTGCAGGAGCAGCTGGAGCTGGGTACTAGGCCGGACGAGAACGGCGGAGGAGACCGCAGTCCCAGTGGCCTCCCCTTAGACCCCAGGCTGCTGACCAGGCTGTTTGAGGCAGAGAGTGATACCGATTCCTTCCCCGGCTTCCCCGAGAACGATTTGTAAATAACCCTGACCAGGCGCTCTTCCTCCTGGGAAAGGTTGGTGGGGTGGGAGGGGGGAGGGGGAGGGCGGGAGTTTAGATTGAACCAGGCGCAGAGGGAATGGGAGGAGATAGGGTGGGGGAAAGAAAGGGCATGTGCAGATGTGAGAGAGAGGTGGGGGACTGAGGCCAAGTTTTAGAGGCAGCCGGTGGGACTCTCCTCGAGCAAGAATGATGCTACCACCAGCCTGACCTGCGAGCTTCCCCACTCTTCCCTCTGATTGAAGCATCAGCTGCTGCCTCTGGGGCATCTCCCTCACAGACCGACCCCTACCATCACAGTGCTGTCAGAAGCGCCTGATCATGAGCACCGGAATTAAACTGTCATTTTCGTATCTGCCCATGGTTGGCCCTTTCTGTGCGAGATCCCAGTCTCTGCTCTTGTGGGGTGAGTCTCTAACTTTTAAACACAATTTTCCCCCTCTCTTGTCCTACACACACGCACACACACACACCCAGCAGAACTGGGGGCGTCAAGACCTTCTGGGTTACCCGTTCTGACCCCCCTTTCTTTTCCATTTTGGGATCATGTGGAAGGGTGTCCCTCGAGTCGGTCTGATCCTCGGGCCAGTCCCGATCGCTGGTAGATGGACTCTTGGCCCGAGCCGCTCCTTGTGCCCTCCCACCCAGCCACCTCAGGGCACAGGGGCCTGCAGGTGAGCTAAGACTGTTTTGGGGGGTGGAGGGGTGGGCTCGAGACACAGTTTTAACCTACCTCAACAATGGAGCAGGACTCCCATGGGACCACTTCCAGTAGCGCCTTGATGGTTGGTAGCTCGAGGTGTGAGGAACTCTAACGATGTCTCCCTGTCCCACCATCAACCCCAAGCCTCACTACTCGGCCTTCCATTGCAGACCATTGTTCACTTTTGCAGGTTGCAGGAGAGGGATGAATCAACCCACCTGGCAGGTCAGCTCCGCTGAGTAGAGCCCTGGCCCCAGACATGTGTATGTGTATGTATAAACACACAGTTGAACAGCTGGGATTTGAAAGCTACCATATCCTCTCCACCCTTTCCAAATGGAGATGCTGAAATCAGCTAACTCCACAGCACCTTGGCTCTTCTGGGATCTTCTGTGTGCTGTGCCCCCCATGTACTCTTGAATAAGCTTATGATGGCAATGGTGCAGTCTTGACTGCTTTCCTGAAAACACTACACTGCCCCAAAAGTAAATCGGTTAAAGACTGCGACACAGGAGGGGGGTGAGTGGGCAAAATGCCAACAGGAAACAAGGAGCCAAATCCAGAATCCTCTGAAATGGTTGAGTTTGTTCTGGGTCCCTTGGGGCGTGGATTTCTGTCTTTGGCCCATAGCTGGGGGGGTTGAGTAATGTCCTTCCTTGAGGTAGCCAATTGCAAACTTGCCACCACCACATCCTCAAAAGAAAAACCCAGTGGTGTGATGTTTACCACAATTGAACAGTAAGGGAGTTTAGCTTTACTTCTTGTTTTTAACGGGGTGAGTGTAATCCACAGGGGTTTGGGGTGGCGGGATGGGGGGGATGTTTTAGAAGTTTGTTGAAACTTTAGCTATGGGGGAAGGGGGTTGGTATCGTCAACTGGGTCGGGTTCTTTTTTTTTGGCAGAGGGTGCTGGCAGTGTCAGCACGTTGCTTTGAAAGTCTCTTGGCCTCAGGGTGGTGCCATGTCGGTTTCGGGATGTGTCGGGGTGGGGGAGACATGTGTCAGGTAAAACGGTCCTTAGGTGGCACTTTGGTGGGAGGGGCATTGGTCGATTCTGCCACAGCTCTGTCCTTGGGGTGAAGGCAGTGGGGAAGTTAAGAGAACCTTCCTGGTGACCTGGGAGGGAGAGTGGGTTAGAGGAATGGCCCTGTGTGTGTGAACTGGGGCCTGTAGCCTGTGTGTGTGTTGGTGTTGACTTCTGCACAGGCACTAGATTTTAGGGAGCAGCCTGAAACTCAGCAATACGGAACTTTCCTAAAGCAGATATTCTAAATGAGTGTATAATGAATGTTTAATCTCTGCTCAGTTATTTTGCCACAGTTGTAAATAATTGATGTATATAAGGATCGGTGTTTTTTTTCCTCTCGCTCTCTGTCTTCCTTGGTATTTTTGTTTTTATACAGTTGGCTAAGTCACCAGGTCACTCGAATATCCTGATGATATGGGACCCAGTTGGCCACCTTCCCCATTGTGGGTACCTAGGGATGCCATATGGCCAGCTGGTTTAGGGAGCTTTCAGATTGCAGGTTCAGTGTGAGGAGTGGTAGGGTTAGTGTCCAGGACAGGGCTTCTCCTTTTTCCTTCCTCTCACTTTGTTTCCGTCTCACTCTTTCTTGCTCCCCCTTTCTTCTTTCTCTCTCTTTTGCTTGCTCTCCCTTGGTTCTGTGCCTGTCTCTCTCTCTCTTTCATTCTATGTCCCTCTCTTGCTGGCACCCCTTTTTTCTGTGTCTTTTTTTTTCTCTGATGCTGTCTTTCTTCTGTGCACGTAGCTTCACTTCCCCCTGACTGTCACCGTCTGGTAAGGGCTGCAAGGCTGATGAAGATCCCACAGTCTCTCCTCCACCACCACCACCCCCCACCCCCACCCCCCCATCTTGTTACAGGTTTCCAGCATCTGCAGTATCTGCTCTTATTGCAGGAGGAGGCCATTCTGCCCTCCTGTCTGTGCCAGCCCTTTTTGAAAGAAGCTTTCACACAGACCGCGCCTCTCTGTTCCCTAACCTGGCAATTTTTTACCCCCATCGAATATTTACCCTGATTTCGGACGTGGCAGACACCCAAGTCATAGGGGGTCCTCTGCATTTTAATAAAGAAAATTCCCCACCCGCCCCTTCCCCTTGCCTTGTGGCAACTCCGCTCGAGTTGTCCTTGCCCATTTATTGTCTGGTGACCTCTCCACTGGACGCCATACCCATCAAGAGTGCCTGCTTATGTGGTGGGTCTTCAAGGCTACAACAACACACTCCTCCTCTCTCTCACCCCCCCAAAAAAAAATTGCTGTCCGGTCCAACACCACTCCCCTGACTCATGGTACATAGCTTCCCTCCATCATCAAAAAACTGGAATCCGCTCGCAGGGTGCAGCTGGGAAAGCTGATCCACCTTTGCGTTTTTTTCTACCTTAAGAACAAATTGTATGTGTGCAGGTGATGACTGATTTAGGTAAAACTACTTGTGCTCCATGGTGTGACCCCTTTTAGAAGTTAGCCACCCCATTTCAGTGTGCCCTCATCATCCCTTTCACATGAAACACCTCCTATCCCCCTGCGTTGGTTAGTTCTGGGTGAATTTGTGGACAGGGTGAGGGATGTGGTAGCTGTTTTACCCTAGCGCAGTTGTAGGTTGATGGCTGTGAATGGAAGTGAATTTTTAGTTGTCACGCGGGCCACCCCCAGCTTTTCATTTTATGGTGTCATTTACTGTGAGGGTTGGGTGCAACTAAATGCAAGGTGCTAGCCTGGGGAATTATCTGAGACTCTTCTTCACCCTGGGGTCTGAGCGTGTAGTGTAGGAGGAGGGGCGCAGAAGTGGGAGCAAGAGCTGTGCGAGACGTAGGCCGGCCTGGTGCTGTCTAAGGGGAGATTTTCTTTTTTTCTCTCTCTCTCCCTCTCTGTCTCGGCATCGGCCCCGGCACGATGGCTGGAAAGAGGAAAACAAACAAAAACATTTTTTTAAAAAAAAAACCCTTCTTTTTCGTCATGACAGGGGTAAGTAAAACCTTAGTTTTTTTTCTAAAAATAAAATATAGTCACGGTTCGCCGAGCGGTGGCCATTGGGGTTTCTTTTCTCCCTCTCTTAGAGAGTTAAGCTGATGTACGATAATTTGCATGGATTACTGTAACTTTTGAACTTTTTGTGTCACTGAGCTTTGTTTACGTTTTGACCCCTTCACCCCAGTTGCTTTGTAAGTAATGGACAATGTACCTGTAATTGAGAAAGGACGAGGAAATAAAAGTCTTTTTTTTTAAAAAAAAACACACATTTCTATAAACTATAAGCTGGTTGCTTGTGATGGTTTATTTTGCTGTTAGGAAACGGTCTTTGCTTTCCACGGGGTCCTTCAAAAGTCGGGGGGGGGTGCATAATTTTAAAGCAAGCGGCAGGAGATTTTCAGGAGAAACATTTTCACCCAAAGATGGTAGGAATCTGGAATGCACTGTCTGGCAGGATCATTGAGACAGGAAACTGTGCAATCTTATTTAAAAAAAAAATACTTGGATGATTCCTTATACATGAGGCCACACCTGGAGTACTCTGTAAAGTTTTGGACTCCTTATTTGAGAAAGGATGTACTGGCACTGGAGTGGGTGCAGAGAACGTTTACTAGGTTGATCCTGGAGTTGAGGGGGTTGGCTTATGAGGAGAGATTGAGTAGACTGGGACGATATTCATTGGAATTTTCGAAGAATGAGGTGGGCATCTTATAGAAACAGATGAAATTATGGAGGGAATAGGTAAGATAGAAACAGGGAGGTTGTCTGCACTGGAAGGTGAAACTAGAACTAGGGGGCATAGCCTCAAAATAAGGGGGATTAGATTTCAGACTGAGCTGAGGAGGAACTTCTTCACCCCAAATGCTTGTAAATCTGGAATTCCCTGCCCAATGAAGCAGTTGAGGCTACCTCATTGAATGTTTTTAAGGCAAAGTTTTGAACAGTAAAGGAATTAAGGGTTATGGTGAGTGGGCGAGAGCTGAGTCCACGAAAAGATTAGCCATAATCTTATTGAAATGTGGAGCAGGCTTGAGGGGTCAGATGGCCGACTCCTGCTCCTATTTCTAATGTTGTCATAATATTCAAGGCTATGAGCCTAGTGCTGGAAAGTGACCACTGTAGCTGGTAGTATATTTTTGGCAGTACAAACTTGATGGGCTGAAGGGCCTTGTCTGTACTGTATGATTCTGATTTGACTTTTTTTTTCTCCCACGTCCATACCATTGTGGCTTAGTGGAGAAAGCTAATAACTGAAAGAACTGCAGATGCTGTAAATCAGAATCAAATACAGAAGTTGCTGGAGAAGCTCAGCAGCTCTGGCAGCATCTGTGAAGAGAAATCAGA